TAACCCAGTAATCCACCAGGGCTCCTTACAGCATTGCTGGTTAATGAGCTGTGCCTGCAAGGTCGGTGGTTCAAGTTCACTAGCCGCACCTCAGAAACCCTAGATGTGGGTCGCTATGAGTCAGAGCCGACTTGATGGCACTTAACAATAACAATAGCATTGGTGCATTAACTGAAACCCACAAGCCCAGGGCCACCCTGATTAGCAGAGCAAAGCATTCCTCATGGTTGATTTTCATGAGTTGTTGAAAGACTGCGTTGCTTGGGAGAAGAGCGGTTTGTTTTCTAGAACTGGGAACTCCCAGTCCTGAGCTCATTCCATTCCTTCCTCACATGCCTCTTGCCCAGGTCTTGTCTGGTGAGGTGAGCTGTGTTCTTAGAGGTGAAGTCAGGACATGTTATCTTTGCGCATCCTGTGTCTGTTGACTTAGGGTGAGCACATTTTTGTTTGTTAACACTGATCCTCATTTAGGCTTTAAACTGAAGCCCCACGTGTGGTTTTCGTGCCTCTAACAAGCCCCACAGGGGGAGGATTATTTTCCTCCCAGAGTTCCAGGGTCTGGCACACTTTGGGATGTGGTGCTAGACCCACCGTGCCTAGCCCAGGGCCTGCGGTGCATTGTGGGTAAAAGCCTGCACTTGTGTTGGCAAGGGCATGAAGCATCAGGTGCTCTCAGGCAGGGCTGCCAGGTGGGCATCAAACAGTCACGTGGAGCACTGGCAAGTCAGTACAACTGAAGATTCAACTGCCTGGTGACTCAGCAATTTCTCTCCTAGGTAAACAGCCCTCTCACCCACCAGAAAAATGTGTTAGTAAGTAAGCAGTGTTTCTGTGACTGTTCATCACAGCACTGTCTGGTGTTGGGCACTAGAGGCAGTTCCAGGCACAGCACCAGCAGAGTGGACTAAACCCAATCCATGAAAACATCAGCCTGTGCAACCACACTGTAGGATCTCCTGTAGGTGGCACTAAGAGAAAAAAGGAGTCCTGGTGGGGCGTTGTAGGATAAGCACTGAACTGCTAACCCCATACAGGCTAGCTGTGAGTCAGAACCGACTGGACAGCACTTAACAGCAACAAGAGAAAGTCATGGTGCTGAGGGTCAAGGAAGGGCAGGAAATGTGTTTCTCAATCTGAACAGTGTTTACCCAAGTATTCATTTTCTCTTCATCCCTTTAACTGCACATGCCAGGGAGACTTCCAGAGGTTTTTGTGAGAAAATTCCATTACCTTTCTATTCCATTTCCCCAAAAACTTTTGGAAGCCCCCTTTATATGTGTATTGTGTGTTTTTCTGTTTGTGCATTATAATCACTGTTTAAAAGAAAGAAAGAAAGAAAAAAAACCAAAGGGGAAAAAAACATAATCTGTGAATAACTCAGGCCTTTCCAGCCGCCTGTCAGGTTTGTGCCTGGGTCAGCTCCCAGAGCTGTTTGAACTTCAGTTTCCTCATCTGTGAAACAGAGATAATGAAGCCTTCCCTGAGAGGACCTGCACATCGAATAAGTTCACTACCACAGGCCTGCAATTCTGGATGGCCTTCATAACTGTGACCTATTGCTAGAACCTGTCAGTTACGAGTGACTTTAGCTACAAAGAAACCAAGTCACAGAAAAGTAACTACAACGTGACTTTAGCTCCTGACCAACCTAAGCTGAGACAAACGGGGTTATTTCAATTGTCTAATAAGAAAGCGCATGAATCGTTTATTTTAGAAGATGGGCACAAGGTTGTTCCCCGTGAAATGGTGCAAGATGTCCAGCTTTTCTAAGCTACTGTACCACTCCATCATCTCTGATATCAACTCCCCCTCCTCCCCTCAGTGTTTTCCCTCCCGTCTTAGACAAAAACAAGGAAGCACCCACTGTAATCGAGTTGACACCGACTTGTAGCAACCCTGAGGGCAGAGGGGAACTGCTCCTTAGGGTTTCCAAGACTAAACCTTTTCAGGAGCAGATAGCCTCATCTTTCTCTCAAGTGGCTGGTGGGTTTGAACCACCGACCTTGCTGTTAGCAGCCTAATAGTTGTTTGCTGCAAATTCTCACAGAACTCACGAACTGTTAAGGAAATGACTCATGAAGTTGTGAAGTCGGGCAAGTCCCAAATCTGTGGGCCAGGTCTCAGTCTAGAAGCGCCTTGTGACCCACTTGGCTGCAGGAGCTGACAAACCCAAACCAACAAGTCTGACTCCAGGCCACCGCATACAAGAGTCAGACGACAGGCAGCTGACTCAAGTCCCAAGAACCAGAGGTCAGACAATGATGGAAGATCTAAAGCAAGAGAGCTCACTTTGCCAGAGCATTCCTTACATGTTAGATGCAGCCCACACCTTCAAGGAAACTAAGGATGGGGACTTGAGTCATGCTGCCTGATAAGGTGCTACCTCAAGATACGTCCATCCCACCTAGTCCTGTCTCATAAACCTAACAGACAACTCCAAAACAGATTGTCCCGTTTTGTGGTTAGAAGGGAGGGCTGTGGCTAGAAGGGAGTCCTGGTGTGGTGCCGTGGGATAAAGCACTGGACCGTGAAGTTGGCAGTTCAAACTCACCAGCCACTCCTTGGAAACCCGATACAGGGTCGCTGTGAGTCGGAACTGACTCAACAGTACTTCATAACAACAACGTGGCTAGAAGGGCAATGTTAAGTAGTTTACTGCACCGCAGAAAGCTAGAGGTAGACACAGGGAGATTAGTCTCTGATTTTCCTGTCTTCCATCATGATCACAAGATCGGATCGCTACAGCAGCTCCAAACATGTCATCGTCATACCAGTGCACCTAGCAAGAGGGCAGGGAGGTAGAAAGGATCTTTCCTTTTATTAGGCAAGAACATATGTTCCGCAAGAAACATTCCCGCCCCCTGCACACACAGAGTAGACAGAGAGGGGCAACTTGGACATTGGATACCCAAATGGGGAGGGGGGGACTACAAAGGCAAGAAATGACTGGCTTACAAGCTTTCAAGAGGGAACCTAGAGCTAGGGGGCATGGAGAAAGGCAGAATCACTAGTGAGTACTATCCAATCTATCTAGGTGGAGCTGAGGAAATGAAATACAGATGGGTCACTCGCGATACTGTAGTGAATAATGGTTATCAAGACGGATTGTGAGGGTTGGAAATGCAAAGGTAGACGTTTTGTAGCAAGGAAGGGAGTGATTATTTCTCCAGTCTAGAAGCGGAGGTCTCTGGGACCACCAACGGAGAAGAGCCAAGAGCGGGACCCTACCCAGAGAAGCAGGAGATGCCTGAGATGGAGACAGAGATGATGACATGGAGTGATGAAGCAGCTGGGGACTTTGGATCCAGAGAGGGAGAGGGACTGTGGGCCGAAGACTTGGGGGTGGGGGGGGGGGGGGAAGGGTAGAGGACAGGTTTCTAGGATATAGCCTTTGGTCGGAAGATGATGCCATGGAGGGGATTGGAACCATGGCAATGAAATGATATACGATGGAATGAATGTAAAACTAAAGTTCTCTCATGTAAACTATCATATTGTTGTTGTTGTTGTTAAGTGCCGTGGAGTCGGTTCCGACCCATAGCGAC